CCTCGTTTAGAAATCAACACACTAGCTCGTCTACAGGTATCACGGGTTTTAACTATTTTTTTTATTTCTGTCTTCCACGTTAATACCTCCTTTTTTAGGTTCTCTTGTTTGTGAGGAGGTGGCATACGAGCTGGTGGTTCACCCGATGATAAGTGATAACCACCGCCCATTGACGTTTGCAACGACCGTAGGGTTGCATATACTTTGGTTTACCTTAGTCATTAGACGAAACGCAGAAGTGTAACACTACCTGTCTTCCACGAAGTCATGGTACTTACCCGGATGGATCTGCAGATTCTATTGCGTGGCCCCGATTCGTGCAACAGCGAAGACTGTTGCGTGGCCGTACCGCATATAAATTTCCAACTGTTTATAACGACGATATGCTGACAATAATAAGGTCTTCATTTACTTGAATGTTAAAAAAAGCTTTTTATTTACAATCGAATATACAGTTTCTTGAGAATTACGGTTCTTGATCAAAATCGTAAGGCAATTTGTTTTAACAATACTGTTCGTTGTGTGCCTATGTGTATTGCCTTAAATATAATTAATGATATTAATAATGACTGAATTGTATACTTGCAAATTATCTTATTTTGCAATGTCTAAAAATAATAACGGAAATGAGAATGTTACATAACTTTACCTTGTATCCGTGTTGAAATAGTTAAAAATTTGTACGTACTTTACTGAAACAATACAGTAGGTACCGGTGAGATTAAGCACTGTAATTTAGCTGATAAACTTTCGCCCCTTTTGGCAAATTGCAGGATGTTAGGTTTTGGCAGTTTTGTTGCGTTCTTTTTCAAATATATTCTTTACGTTACACTGTAACTAAATTAAATAAATTAGGACATCGAATTTATGTCCATTCCAATCTTGATTATAGAGAGTGTTATTAATACAAAATGAACAACTAGATAATAACTAAATAGCAAAAAACTACTAGATTTTAAATTAAGACCGTGATTAAATTTACTCCAATGTATGATACCAGACAAATGTTTAAGCTGCATATAGTTTAGAAACGAGACTGGCGCCAAAAATAATTTCTTATAAAGAATTTTTAAGAACGCTCCCAAAAGATGTTGTTTTAAACCCTTTTTCATTGCACGATCCAAAGCTTTTGTACAAATTTAGTTACCTGATACGATGTTTTTCCTTCACTCTTGTTTGAACTTCTTTGCCGTGTCAAATTTTTTATCTTTGTATATAAAAGAGAAGCATGTGCGTATGTATGTTCACCTAAACCTCGACAACAGTTAGTCCAATTGATATGAAACTTAACACACATATAAACAGCGACATGACCACTCTGACGAACATACTCGTTATTACAGTAGTGCTGTGGCGCTGGTCACAGTGACAATTATCTATTTAGTAAAAATGAAAACTTGTCTTTTTAACCATAGGTCGAATTGATATAATTTTGTATATATGCATGTGGCAGCATTGGAACACCGACTAATATGATTACACTGGTAACTGATAGATGACGCTAGTGAGGTTTAGTTAATTTAATTAACACACGACAAGTTTCTTTCTTTTTGCTCATGATGTCAAAATCATATAAAAAATATTGTATACATAAGTGCTTTAGAATATCAAAAATCATAAACAATTAAAAAATGTTTTTTATTTTCGGTTAAAAATGGTACTTTTTCTGAGTGCAGCGAAGCGCACAGGGCACCAACTGGTAGATGAAAGTGTGAATTTGTGAATATCAATGTTATATATAATTTTGTACACCTGTAAATTTCGATTACACTCACCAACCTTATTTCTTACACCGCCAAGAGACCATAGACTTTTTAATGAATGTGAATTACTTTTTTATTTATTTCAACTGTATTTGGAACCCGAATTTTTACCCGTTTTTAAAGATAAGATCTTAATACATAGACGGAAAGAGCGATAGAAAATCAAGCCTTATTGGGGTTTCATCTTTATGAATTCAGGTAAGGAGCCCTAAAACATAATATTATTTTGCTAAGAAATTTTCCGAATCTCCTCGCTTTTTATTCACATAACTCAGAATTGAGATAATTAGGGTAAGGTGATTTACGAGTGAAGACTGCTCGAGCCCCGAACGTTTATTAGTTACGATTTTTTACGTGAACATTGAGACTCGAGGGTGAGAACTGATAAAGAACTTTTAATAGTATTGGAAATATTTTTGTCTATTCTATCTAAGCATGTCGAAATTGTCACACATTTTTATTCTTATCTTATTAATGTCTTTTATCTCTACGCAAAGGTTATTGATGATTATTTATATAAGTAAAGTAAAGTAAAGTAACAGCCTATACATGTCCCACTGCTGGGCAAAGGCCTCCTCTGTACAGAGGGTATCAGGGCATAGTCCACCACGCGGCTGCACTGCGGATTGGCGGATTTCACATAACTTCGAAATATATTTTTTTTGTTATTATTTCGAAAATATGCAGGTTTCCTCACGATGTTTTCGTTCACCGCGGAGCACGTGATAAGTCAGCACTTAAAGTTAAAAACTTCATTGGTGATAGCACTCAGGTTGCTCGAGTATATTGAATTAAAGGCGAGCGCCCGGACACTGAGCTATCACGATTATTTATGTACTTAAGCTTAATATACTTTTGTATTTATCTACTTGTGGAATCTTTTATTTGGCCTTCTGTATTTATTATCTAATACTGAACTTATGTGATAGCTGTTAGTTTCCCTAAAATTGTAAAATGATATATTTTCCCAGGCAAATTGCAATGATTTTCCAAATTGACCCAATAAATTATATATGCAGATACGTAAGAACAATTAATCACGTTCCACTCGTGTTCGTATTTTCCGTATCCTGGTTTGATCGAGTTTCGTTTACTGTACTGATAACGAAAATAAAAAGACTTTCGAAATTAAAAGCTAAAGCTGCTAAAAGAGGTTTAAACCATTCATATAAAATAGTTACATTTTATGTTTTTATGTGACCTATAGTTCATTACAGTTTACAGTAATTCATGAAACTTAACATTTGTTAAGTTCTCGTTTGGTACCACAAATGGGCAGTATCCCACGGTTGCAGTACTGCAGCTGTGTGGTTATAAAATAGGGTTCTGTGACCGTCTTAAAAGGGCACATTTATGATTGAGATGGAGCCCCCAATCTAATCCAAGCAGACAGACAGGACACTTACTATCATACGCCTCATATGACAGACGCGACGCAACTTGTTATCATATGGCTCATATCTTATCCTTTTAGGTAAATGTTGATATAACGATGATTTATTTCGATGTAGATTTATTTACGATTCTATTACGTAATAGACAGAATATCGTTACAGACTTATTCTGCAATAGTCTATGTAGTGGCCGCTTATGCTGCTTCCTAAGGCTTGGGTAATGGATCTGTTAGATCGATATGGCTGTTAAAATATTGACTGGCCTAATAATATTATTTGAAAATATATATTCGTTCAGTCAGTGAAGTTTTCTTCCATTCCTTATAGTATATTTATATGTATAGTGAAAGAATAAATCATAGTATTATCTGGTGACGATAGAACACGTGAAGAAATCGAGAAAAGGTTTGCTTTCGTTTCTTACATTGCTGGTGCGTGTAAAAGTATAAAAGATGTGCACACAACAAACCGAACAAAACGTGCCATTCTCTGTTAAAGAAAACGGCTGTCTCTTTGTACAGCGTCACTTGGTAGTAGCAGGTCGTTAAAATGTTGTCTCACAGTGCCTGGCGTCTAGCTTTAACGATATTATATCCGAATACAAAAATTCGTTCACTGTGTTAATATTAAATTATATATTTCTATATTTTTTTTTCTCTTACAAACATTAGCACTAAACATTCTTATTATATAAGGGTTGTGGTAAAAAGGCAAATAAAACCCCTAGGATCTCGGATTTTGAATCCACATTCATGTGAAAAAAATAAGACAAATAAGGTTAGCTCTAATTGCATCACAATAATTACTGAAGATTAAAATATTTACTGAAGACTTTGATCCTACTGCCATGTGAGTAAAAGAACGAAATACGAAACCTACCGCTGCTAGGTAACATACTGGTAATAATGTGTATATGTTAAATAACTTTGTTCATTACAAAACAATTTCTATATTTATAAATATCTAAGTTTTCTCGTCTAAAATCATTTGCCAATATCTGAAACTAATTAGCAATTGCGTTGATAATTGACAGTTCTCGAGAAGGTCGTGTTATTCTTGTAAGCGATTTGAGACTATTTTAGATAAAACGGACTAGAAATTAAGTAACATAATTTATTCAATTATCTCTCTTGTATTTCAATGGCTGGGAAACTAGAAAATGGTAAGTACCATTAGGACATTCAAAACTTGACAGAGTTTCGTTCACCTTTCTTTACTTTATGACAATCTGAAAAGTAAAGAAAGGGATGTACATTTTTATTCCTGGATTCTGTAGTGCGCTACGTTACGAAATATATTGCCACCAGACACAATCCGTCACTTAGAGCTCTTCGGAACGTACAAGCCCTCACGTCAGTAATCCCCATCGGGATGGCCAGACATAGCTTGCGCCATCCTCGTAAACGGCTGTGTGATATATAACTATAATGTTGGCCACAAAATGTAAAACGCATAAGGTGGCGTACATTTGCTCTTATATGCTCGAGGGGGCATTCTAAGATTAAATAATGTAAAAATAGTGTCTTTGTAAAAAATAATAGTAATAATCTTCGAGTGTTAATTATTTTTTATTTAAAAGAATAGGCAACGATATAGAATGCGTTGGATTTTCATACTACAATCGATTTAAACTAAATCAATCCTAATTTAATCAAAAAATAAAAGACGTTCTCTATGAATAGTCGAATAGGTTTTTTTTCATGTCATCCGGGAAGAATTGCTTGTTAGTTAGGTAAGTTGTCTAAACTTTATTTTGACTAAACGTATTTCATGATTTCATCCTCAATTCTGGGTTTTATTAAAATGAACTTATTTAAAAACTGTGTTGCGACAATAGCCAAACATGGCGAATATAGCCACCATAGCATCTATAAAACAACCACAACGGGTGCATAAGGTACACCCGCGGTTCAAGGCCGTATCAAGTTCGCGGCATTTTGGTATCTCACGAGTTTTGCGTTATAAGAATCTTTAATAGTTTATGAATTGCCAACAAAACCATCAAGGTAAAGCAAAGTTTAGAGACACCATACCATTTTTGGTAAGGTGGTTTGTAAGAAAATCATGGTTCATACAACATTTTATATTGTACTATTATCCCTTGGGTGGTGTAAACCCTGGAAAACCGAAATGAATTGACCGTTTTCTGTTCATTAAATTAATCATTACGGACATTTTAATTGCTCGTTTAATTGAAGTACACGTTCCATCGCGTGCATGTATACAGTTAATTAATCGTTCGTGTTGTTGAAATAATTTGAATTCTATAATTGGGTAAGGAGTATCAGCCACTATCCCGGGGGCATTTAAACTGAGATCGCATTTCTGAAACAGACACGTATAAATGAAACGGCACTCTTTCTATTAACGAGTTCGTTACAGCTTTGCATATTGTCAGCTACTTCTTATTTACCCCAAGAATGTTTTTAACTTAATGCTGTCTAGTCCGCTTTCGCTTACTATCTTAATTATGACGTTAATTCTATTTAAATATTTTAATTTTTATATTTCAAAAGAAAATTGAGTGAGTGAGAGATTGAGATTAAAATAATTTGACTCACAAACGTCTCTTAAGTCAAATCCTCGTATCGATCGATCCTATTCATCAACAATTTCTGAAACTTTACGCATTGTAATGGTTATCAATACTTATACAAATAACACGTAGCTGGTTCTACTGTCGTGCGAATGGACAGGCTCGGGAAAATACTACAGGATCACTGAAGACCGGCGTGAAGTGCAAGTACAATTTCGCGTTTCGCCTGATGAGTGTGGTGAGCGAATTTTCAGTTGCTGCAGATGTTCATGTCCAGCGGTTGCCACTTAATATCAAGTGAACCACGATCCGAATGCCGCCTTCTCACATAAATGTACATACCTTTAGGCTATGTTTTGGTTCTTCTAAGAATTTAAATGAAGTAGGCTAAAAATCTATTAAATTACTACTCTACGTTTATATTACGAAAGGACTCTTGAAAGCTCCTTCTCAAGGTTTTAATAATAATCTCTAAGCAAAATCGGCAATTGTAAACTGATGCTAGAACTGGTGCTGCTAATGAGAATGGAAAGAATGGTATTTGTATGTTAAACATAATATTAATAATTATCTAAAGAATAGTGACAGACATAAACTAAATACTAGAAATAAGGACAAACTAACTACGCCAGTCTACAAAAAATAAACAGGTCGTTCATGGGGCAAAGTGTGCGCATGTATAATAAAATCCGACAGTCGATATTAAGTCTGCCACTTGATGAATTTAAACGAAAAGTTAAAAGTAAACTTATGGCTAAAGCATATTATACTATTGCTGAATATCTTGACGACGTCAATGTGTGGGGTTAATACTGTTGATCACGTAGGCTAAAACAAGACTATTATACCTGTAACATTATATTGTAAACTGACCTTTTAAAAAAGAGAAACTGTTGAGTTTATTACCAGTTTCTTCTCAACAGAAACTGTTTTTAGAACCGGTGGTAACTTACGAACATATTAATTTCCTTGTAAAATTTCGTCGTTTCATAAGAACGCGCAAGCGTCTATGTGAATAAAGATTTATTATTATTATTATGTTTGGGGGATATTCATTTGATTTCTCGTCTGATTGGGTTTATAAATTAAAAATAAACATATAGATAAATTTTTTTTTTTTATGCGAAAAGTTGTCAAACGAGCAGACGGTTCACCTGATGTTAAGTGAATACCGCCGCCCATGGACATCTGCTACACTCGAGGGTTACAGATGCGTTGACAACCTTTTGAAAATTGGGCTCCGGCTACCTCACTCACCAGACGAAACGCGAAAGTATTTGTCATACTTCCACTTTACGCCGGTCTTCTGTGAGGTCGTGGTACTTACCCGGACGGGCCTGCCCATTCGTGCAACAGCCGAGGCTGCTGCGTGGCCCTACCACCGTAAAAAGATACTTATTGTATTATTATTATTATGGGGGGATATTCATTTGTTTTCTCGTCTGGTTGGGTTTATAAATAAAAATAAAAATATAAATATATATTGCATATATAAAATAAATATTATGGATAAAAATAAACATATAGATAAAAATATTGTATATAATACATATATAAATAGGACCCAACCAGACGGAAGCCCTCGGCAGGGGAGACCAAACGGCCGAGGGTTAGGGTGAAAGGGAGAAACCGGCGGACGATGCGGGCGGTATCGAGGAGCACCGCTTTCTGCATTAGAGCTTGGAGCGCTCCGTCCAGGAGTCCCAGTCGCCTCAGATGTCCGGAGAGGCTGACTGGAATCAACCCATTGGCAGACACGACTATCGGGATAATTTCGGTCGGCACACCACCCCACATGTCGGTCACCTCGTGAGCCAGGTCCAGATACTTCGTCTTCTTATCTGTTTCGGCTTTCACGAGGTTCTCGTCATATGGAATGGTAATGTCGACCAAAAATACCCGCAACTGTGCCCGGTCCATCAACACGATATCAGGTTTGTTCGCGACAATCGTCCTGTCCGTGATGATGGACCGGTCCCAATAGAGCCTGGCGCGGTCATTTTCGAGCACGGCCTCCGGAGAGTACTTATGGTACGGCAGTTTCCGTTCCACGAGGCTGTATTTCAGAGCGAGCTCCTGGTGTAGGATTCTGGCTACTAGGTTGTGTCTATGCAGATACTCAGAGTTAGAAAGCATGGAACAACCGGAGATAACATGCCGAAGCGACTCCCCGGGATGGCGACAAGCTCGACAGATGTCGACGGTGCCATCCTTTAGGATGTATCTCCGATAGTTGTTCGTCTTAATAACCTGCTCTTGTATCGCACAGACAAAACCTTCGCTTTCCCCAAAGATGTCACCGAAACGTAGCCAATTAAGGGAGGCAACAGTATCTACGAAAGGCTCGTGTAGAGCCTTGTAGAACCTCCCGTGGAGCCTTTTCTCCTTCCATACGGCCTCTCGGTCAGAAACGCTCAGTACTACCGGGTCCTGCCATTGCTCGTTGGCTAAGGATAGAGGGGTAAGTCCTTTATCACAACTAATGACGTCCGTGTAGATTGAGTCATCCGATCTCGCCAGAAAGTAGTTACGGAGGCTGCACACCTCGCGATTGTGCATGGTGAGGGCGCTTAAAAAGCCCCTCCCGCCATGCTTCCGCGGCAGGTACATCTCGGATGATGCATTCTGTGGGACGTCAAAGTTGTGCGGACCTTTCGGTCCAGGGCGTTGAGCTCAGTTTGAGTCCACCTGAGTATGCCAAAGGTATACATGAGGATTATTATTATTATTATTACAAAGGCTAGACTGAAAGGAGAGGCGTGAAATGAGGCTAATTTTTGACCCTAACTTGATTATAACCTTTCCTTCACTTTATCGAAATACATGAAGCTCACTAAAATTGAATTCCTTTGTTTTCGATATTCCACACACACGAACCAAGCACTTTGCTTCGCTGATTAAGCGTCTTCAAAGTTCTTTAAACGACAAAGGAATCAAAAACTTTGCCACCGTCTGTTTTTCCTTCCGAATATAATATAGCATCTTCAAGACAATACTAAGTCTACCGTATTGAGAGTATATTCAAATTGCTTAAGAATTTTCATCGTCTTTAAGAATGTTACTGAGCTAGTACATTTACTTCCTTAGTTTAAATATAAGTATGCATGTTACCATTAGGTATGACCACCAATCCCTTGCGATTTACTTATAAAAACTGTTTTTACTAAAAAATAGTGTCTGCCCTGAAAGAAGTAAGTGAGTTGGGATGGAAAGTTTTAGTCGGTTTTATAGCAAAGTTTTTTGTTCTGTTCAGACGTTGAAACTGTTTGTAAATTCTACAAACAATACTTACTCTTCGTCTTTAAAAATATATTTCAATAAAAAATATAACTAGTTAACTCTTTTCGTGCTCTTCTTTTTTTAATTTATTCTGTTTAGTAAAGTAACATTTCTGTGTTTACATTGTAAATATTACTTACTTACACGATTACGAATAAACTGTAAAAAGAAATAAGAATATGTAAAATACTAATTTAAATATTAAATTATTATTTAACATTTAATATAATAATACAAAAAAAAAACAAAACCACGTTGAACTACAAATTTTGATTGAAATTGTTTAAGCAGTTTAGGAGATACCTACGCGAAATATATATATAAATATATATACAAGAATTGCTCATTTAAAGTTATAAAAAATAATGTTTTTATTAGGATTCTTATATGACATAAAATAATCTTTATTATTTAAAAAAATTACTTGTCCTTATCGAACAGGGAAACATTATTAGCAACGCATTTGTCAACTTCGAGAGCGTATAGCTCTAAGAGACATTTACGCGAATTTAACGGCTCTTTGGCAGCAAGGTGAACTTTAGAGCGGAATAGAACCACCGTAAAATATATCATCGAACTTTCCGCCTATTAAAACAGAGGGCTATAAAGGTGGCTATAACGCTTCTCTCTTTTTATCCGCCTACGAAATATCGGTCGTATGTATGCTGCTTTATGATGACAAACTTCGCTACTTTATGTTATCTATAAAATGTAAGTGAAACGTGATTTGTGTTACAAACATAAATTGATACTGAGTAGAGTCTAGAGTAGAGGTAGTTGTTTCTATACTGATACGAAATCAGGGTATTCCAAATAAAAGTAAAAAGTAAAGTAACTGCATATATTTCACTGCTGGGCATAGGCCTCCTCTGTATAGAGGGTATTAGGCCATAGTCCGTCACGCTGACACAGTGCGGATTGGCACACTTTACGTGTCTTTCAAAATATTTATTGTTATTATTATTATTTCGAAAATATGCAGATTTGTTTCCTCGCTATGTTTTCCTTCACCGCTGAGCATGTGATATGTCAGCACTAAAAATTGCTGCTGCGGAGAATAGTTCCCTGCATAGAGCTACGCAGGGAACAGTTCGGTTTCCGCAGCGGCCATTCCACCACGGCGCAGCTGGCCCGAGTGCTGCACTATCTTGTGGCCCAGTACAACCGGGGCCGCATCTGTCTGGGGGTCCTTCTCGATATGGAGAAGGCCTTCGACAGAGCGTGGCACGAGGGCCTGCTGCATAAGTTATTGGAAAACACCACCACACACCGTGCGCTCGTGCGGTTAGTAGCGTCGTTTCTCCGGGACCGGAAGTTCGTCGTACACGTCGAGGGAGCCGGCGGTACGATGTATCAAAGCCGGTGTACCACAAGGTAGTTGTCTGTCGCGACACCTGTATGCGGTGTACACGGACGACATTCCCACCTTGGAGCAAAACGCCTCCGACTGGGATGAAGACGTACTGTTGGCCCTGTACGCGGACGACAGTGCGTTCTTCACGTCTTCTCACGTCGCGGCGATTGCGGCGAGGAAAATGCAGCGCCAACTGGACCTGCTGCCCCAATGGCTGGATAAGTGGCGGATGTCTGTCAACGTCGACAAGACGTCCGCCATATATATCCGCCGCATTAAAAACCAACCCACGCTTGAGCTGCGAGGTCAGGCGATTACCAACCAGAACGTCATAAGGTACCTTGGATGCCGGATAGACCGCTCGCTGTGCATGGCTCCCCAGGTCGGACACGCCGTCCGACCAGCCAGAGCAGCTCGAGCCATGCTGTAGCCTAACCTGGTATCCAGGTTACCCATCAAGACCAAACTCGGCGTCTACAAGACGTACGTCCGTTCGCGCCTGACCTACGCCGCTCCAGCGTGGTATGGTCTAGTTTCCGCCTCGCAGAGGCGCAGGCTCCAGGCGCAGCAGAACCTCGCCCTTCGAGTGATCGTAGGGGCCGGGCGCTACGTCAGGAATGACGTAATCGCCCGCGATTTAAAAATGGAATCCATCCTGGAGTTTGTGGTCCGGTTGGCCCGTCGCATGTACGACCGGGCCGACAACGGGCCACACCCACACCTCAACAACAACGCACCCCTCCACGCCCGTCATCCTGACGGGCGCCCGCTCCCACGAGAGCTACTGCGGTCGGAGGCCACTGGGGAGCCGGACCCGACCGCACTTCCGCCGTTGAGAAGACGATGTCCTCCGCGCGTTACACACCGCGTGTAACGCTGTACACCCGCCAGTGCCGCTACCGCGGTCAGAGTTGAGTAAGGATGACCGTTGGTCATCCCTTCCACCGACCAGCCTTCGCTGGTCGAGATTATGTCCGAGGCATGGGGGTTGCCCCGATACTCGTTTAAAAGCAGGCCTCGCGCCATCTTCGTACATCACCACTAAAAATTTACAATTTCATTGGTGTCGGCACCGGTGATCGAACTCAGGTTGCTTGAGTATATTGATTCCTATAGCTAGCGTCTATTCTATGCTTAGAGGAATTGCAAGTTCGTGAAAACTGTTATTAATTATCGAATCGGTTTGTTTGCTTTCAACCGACTCCAAAAAAATGGGGTTATCAATTTTTCTTATTATGTTTTTACCTCAGCATTTCGTAATTTCTGAACCAACTTTAATTTTTTTGACTTCTTTAAAATTTCTTTACGTGTGACTAAAGGGTACCAAACTGAATGCTTTGGACGACGACACTGCAACGGAAACTCATTACGACGATGACGCGTTTATATAGCATCCGATTTTTAAATACATTGTAAATTTTTATTAACAAGAAACAAAACTGACTTCAGTTAATGAAATTATTAACCGTCACTCTTAAAATAAATAGAAGTATGACCATGAGCTGAACCAAACCGAACGCAAAAATTATTTTTAGAATCGGTTCATAAATGACGGAGTTCTAACAAATGAAGAGTTTTTAGTGGATAAGAACCCCACATAACCCTGTCATGTAAGACGACACGGTATCTTTCGAAGATTTCCTCCCCGACACCAAAACAAACGGTGATCTCCCAGGGTGGTCTTAACTCGTCGGTCGGCAATCGTCTCCAGGAACGGGGGAGCGTGGCGGCGCGGGCCGCATGGCGCTGCTGTACCGCGCTACGCGGCTCAAGGACCGCGCCGACACCCACGTGTTCACCTTCGTGGTGACCAGGTCGGCGACTCGGGAGCCCGACCGCGACGTCACCTCCAAGGACTTCTGCTGCTCCCACCAGCGATGGGCGGTCGCGTTCAGCCGCACGGACGCCTCTCTCGGTCAGTGGTGCGATTGTCGTCTTTTAGTACTTTGTTTGGATCGGGCTAGTGTGTTGTAAGCGTAGTTTATAAACCTTTGATTGAAGTTTTTGACGACACGACAACATTATAATATAGTACATTTCTCGTTGTTTAATTTAAGGCTCAATAGATAATTTTGTATGCAATTTCAATACGTAATGTTCTGGTTTTTATTGATTAAAATTAATATAATAAAATATTAATCTTTTCACTTTTTGATAATTACTTGAATTTTAAAGTATTGTTTAATTAGAATTACCAATGTCCACGTAGCACCTTGCCCTTAAAGGTTAATCTCATGGTCACATTAATCAATATGTTTTCCATTAATGAAAGCTCTAGAGCCTTGTCTTGAAGCACCCAAGTTAAATTTCAAATCATCCCAATTATTAATCATAATTAATTTATATTTATATTGTGCTCAGAACTATAACGGATATTTTTATCAATGTGCTTTGACTCCAAAAGAGATATGTGAAATGCAGATAAATTAAAAAAAAAAACGTAATCTGATAGCATTTAAACAACATCGGTTAATAACGTCGTTTCAACAGGCGTGTACCTGGTGTGGCGGGGCGCGTGCGAGGGCATGCGCGTCTACGTCGACTTCACCTTCACTCTGCTCAGCCGCGACCACTTCACCGCCAATGACGGCTTCTCCGGCAAGCAGGTCCGTTTCAGCGCCGGCTGCGCGGCCCAGGGCCGCGGGAGGTGCATCACGCTCTCCGAGCTCAACACCAAATTCGCGGACGCCCGAGGCGAGTTCCAGCTGGAGCTCACCATGTCGAAAGTACGCACGCTGTACTCCTGCGAGTTGCGCGCGCCCCGGCTGGACACGCCGCCCATAGCGTTCGCCGGCTTCGATTGGTCCGTGTCGGCGAGCGGCGGAAATAAGGAGCCGCTAACTTTGCGCCTGGTCCGACTCTCCGGGGAGGGCCAGCGCTGCCGGGTCCGGTACGCGCTGGCGCTAGGAGAAGGCGAGCGGCGGCTGTACTCGGGCCCGCTGGAGTGCGTGTGCGACCCCGAGGGGCGCACCCCTCCTTGGAACCCGCGCCCACCTTCGCGGATCCTCCAAAAGGGCGTGCGGCTGACGATCGAGCTGGTGTGGGCTCGAGCGCTCGCTGAGCTCGCCGTCTCGGCGGCCGGACGCGCGGCGACCTGCTACGACCGCGACAAGCAGGCGTGGGCGCTACGCTGCGACACCCATTCGGAGACCGTGCGTCTGCACATGCTGTATCGAGACGTGCACCACGTGCCGCGGAACCACCTGCGCTACGTCAGCTGGTCCGCTTGGCTGGTGCGCGCGGCGCCGGCTCCCGGAGAGCCGGACGCTGACGAGCTGCCCGGCGCGCCGTTCGAGCATTACTACGCGCAGGACAGCGCCGACGAAGGCCTGATGATGGAGACGGCGCTGCGTGTGGAGGACATATCGCGCGCCGGCTGCGCCTTCCTGCACGCCGGCGGCGAACTGCGCGTGCGCCTCGAATGGGGAGACACTTATCTACTCTTCCAGGCTACGTATCACGTCTACGACGATCTCTGCCGCCTACATTCACACCAAATGAGGTATGTATAGTAGCTGTCAAATGTATAAATAAAACAACAATACATGCATTGTACATAAATTGATCCTTGTAATTACGGCAAATTAGTGACCCTCATCGCAGGAGGCGCGTGAATTATCACCTTTTTTTTGGTAAAAAAATTACCCATGTAGAAAGTTATGTGTGGTATTATCGCCATTGGATTATCCATCATGTACGAAAATACAAATTATAACTAACGAATATTTGTAGGCCTTATAGACTACTCCTTAGGCGGGAATCAAGGCAACGGCACCCGCACAAAACCTGACACTGACCAGGTAGGGCCACGCAATAATCTTCGCTGTTGCACGAATGGGCAGGTCTGTCCGGGTCCGTACCACGACCTCGCAGAAGTCCGGCGTGAACGGGCAGTTATACTTCTGCGTTTAGCGAGGCGACCGGAGCCCACTTAATTAAAAGGTGGCAACGTAACTGCAACCCTAAGACAAATGTATGGGCGTCGTTTATCATTTATCATCAGCTGAACCGCTGACTCCCTCGCGACCTTCTCACATAAAAAAAGATTTGTGTGTACTTAAGTACGCACGCAAGAAGTTATACTTTTTTTGGCGTAACAAAAGTAAAACAAGTTGAATAATAAAATCAAAACATCGTTTCAAAAACTGACCTTGACAAAACAGTGAAACCGAGTTTATATAGATATAATATACTTATACATAAAAATGTACGCGAATATGTAGAGTAAAATTACGAAAGTGCCACTTACTACATTCTTTATTGAGGACTGTGCCGGGCGAATGTGATCGAGAATATGCTGTCATCTATAAAAATTTGCGGGCAGCTTCGAAGGTGTGACTTTTGTGTTACATCCAAAAAATTTACTCTCGTCATTTTTTCCTAAAGGTGTGTAACTTCAAAAAGCACCAGTCGTGACAGCTAACGTGCGGTTGCAGGCGCGAGATAGCGGCGCTGCAGGCGGAGAACTACTCGCTGGAGCGGCAGCTGTTCAGCTACCAGAAGAGCCTGGCGTATGCGCAGGCGCAGGCCGGAGAGCCAGCGTCCGCAGACGGTGGGGGCCGACGCTCCCCCGCCGAGCGCTCTCTGTCTACCGACACTGAGTACGCGTGAGCGGACCTCGGCCGCTCAATGTGTTCCCCTCCCCTATCTTCTCGACTGACTCGACCCTGACGTTTTTGAGCGATTTATCTATTTTTCTAAAGGTTTTATCGTGAGCCGCGCCCTCGTCCGCACCGCTTGCCACCGGCCTCCTGCACTATCGCCGCTCAACTCTATCGATTACTCGGCCGACTGTTCGAATGAATGTCGGCCTCTTTTCTATTTGTCTGTACATAAAATATATTTAGATATTACATATATATATATTATGTATATTTCTAACTTGAAACTCGAATTCATATACTGCAAACAGTGTCGATTTACGAATAAAAATCTAAATAAAATCCTCGGTAGTTTTATTTCTATATCTTCTTTCAGTAATAATTTAGTACGATCAAATTATCAAAAAAAAATATATCTCCTAATGTTAGCCAAAGGCAAACGGTAACGGTCTGTAATGGTATTAGGGCATAGGCCACCACGTGATCCCGTGCGGACTGGTGAACTATACATATTGACTTACACCCGTAACACTGGAGTAGATACGAGTTGAGCCTTTGAAATAGAAAAAGAAATATCAGGCAGTCTATCTATAACAAGAGGCGAACTTCAAACTGCGGGACTAAACTTTCTTTTTCTGTCACTAGTGTTTGTCATTCTACAACATGGATAGGTGGACAATAATATGGTATTTTATAATTATACATAAGGATATGTAACATTAGTGTTAATTTATTTAACGGTTTCAAACAACCAATTTTGTAATGCTCATGAATTGTGAAATGTATTACGATGTTCGTGTATTCAAACAAAAAAAATTAAAAATCTTAAAAAGCTATAATAATACAAAAAAGTTTAGAGATTAATATTTATGTTTGTTAAATCGAAATGGTACGTCCTACGCATCTGAATAATGGCGTAATCTTTTTTTATTATGGAATGGACAAACTATGAAGTGGCTCGACCAATCACATTGTTTCGAGCTACGGGTTCGGGTGAAACGCCGGTCGTTTAAACTTTCGCTTCATTGACGCCAACAAACTCGTGCTCAGCGGACTTCTCAGTATCGCTCTAGTCCTTAATATTTCTATCCGTGCGAAGACTCTCCCGTTTCACTATTCACTTTACTTTTCCACTTTTCTCTTGCTCTTCTTCCTCCCTCTAGTTCCTCCTCCACTGAACTGCCCGTCTAGCACGCCCCTTTTATAGTCGGAATTTCGTTCGTTTTTTAAGTAAAGGTTTGGAATTTGGACGTCCTTTCACTCTACAGTAAAAATTTAAAATAAAATCATATACGTCATTCCAAACTGTCATCGACGAATCCTTGACATTTAAGACGTCAACCCCGTAATCTTAACATATTATATCCCAACGCAGCCTGCCTGTTCTTCTTGCAGTCTGTTATCCGGTCCTCAATGTTCTTGCGTTGTATCTTGCCAGGTCCACTAACCGTCATTGGCAGCCGAATCTCAGCTGGAGATTCCTTGCAACCCCTACCCTGCCGTTACCGTGACCGCACATCTGGGACTTCTATCATAAGAGGGGATTTACCGTAGTTGCCACGGCTGGCGGGTTAGCAACATCAGTTTACGTACACCTCGCTAGTTATTGGATGAAAGGTTTACCGGAGATTTTAATTAAAACTTTTTATTTTTGTAACGTTGCGTGATGGGTTTTCTATCTTAACGGAAACGTGTATTTCCTTACTAAACCTTAATATTATAAAGGCGAAAGTTTGTATGTATGGATGGATGTTTGTTACTCTTTCACGCAAATACTACTGAATGTATTTTAATAAAACTTTACAATAATATAACTTATTCATCAGAATAAGACATAGGCTATAATTTATTACATATTTTTATGTATATATCTTTCTGTCTGAATGTTACGCCTTCAGCCTATTCTACGCAGACGTAGTCGCGGGCTGCAGCTAGTATAAAATATATCTTACTAGCTGTTTTTCCTTTCTTCATAAGAAATAATTTGTATTTATTAAAACATAAAAACTTTTATTAATATTTTTAAAAACATGTTTATTATATTAACAAAGCCGCTTTTGTCTAAATTTATCAATACCTATATGTATGATCCTGCACAATCAAACATAATCCTTAATTTCCATTTCTGAAACTCACGACTTTTATAATATCAGGGGCAAATATGCTGATAGGGAAATCTAACTTTGTAACTCATATCTTTTTTACATGTTAAGCAGAGATTAATTGTTCTATAACAACTACGTAATAGGGTGATTTGTATTCGAATTGAAGAATGGATTATAAAAAGTATAGTTCTATTATGACATCTTGTATTTTTATTCATTAAAAGTTTGAATCAACAAAAAATCTTGACAACAGTAATTACAAAGTTTTCTTGTTAATTTTGTGAGAAAGCAAAAGCACCCCTCGTGCTTTTGCTTTAATAATGTGGAATTTAGGCATTAAGGTATATTATTTCTGAATTTCTGTTCTATGTACGAGTGCTTTATAGATTAGGAACGGGAAACAAATCAATTCATCCAAATTTATTACTCATTTGCAACACGTTGTTAGGAATGTGGACTTTTTATGAGAGATATTTGTAAAGGAGAAAAATCTAAAAAATTTTTCAGTAAATTTACCAACAAGTACACATAGATGTTTGATTTATCTGTTTCATTAAAAGTGAAAACTGAGTAAATCAGACGTAAAAGTGAAAGGAAATTGTATGTAAAGGAAAAAGAAAATCACTTTAAATTCTAATAAAAGCTTATTATATCGAAGGGTTTTTGCAGATAGAAAATAGTGAGAGAATATAAAACGGGATGGTTGGTGCTTTTAACCAAATTCAAAAAGGAGGAGGTTTCTCAATATTTGGACCGTATATATTTTTTTTTGAAATTGAAAACGACAACCTACTGGGAAAATGGGTTGACAAGAGCATTAAAAACATAGCAAAATTGTAAAGTAATTCGTTGGGAAAATAAAGTTCAATATTGGAAGGAATGAAAGATATACTGAAAACTTAAACTTGATCGCGTCCGTAAAAAAGAACAAAAAAGGAATTAAAAAATAATTTAAAAATGTTCCCTTCTTGTACTTCCGGCCAAATTTAAACTAAGTTTGCACAGCGTCTACTTATAGACAGCGCGTTTAACGAAATGACGATTTATAGCATAGTAAAGATCTTTTTTAATGAAAATTCTCTTAAAGAGCAATTTCATCGTTCTTATTTTCTTCTCGTTGAATCTTTCAAAAGGTTAGTAAACAATTCTCGAATTAATAGACGTTTTTTTTACGATGGCTGAGTCTTACGATCTTATAACGGGAATTAAGTACCATACGACTATCAATTTTTGCAGCCCTATATATAAAGTCACATTTATAACAAATTGAAATTAAAATAGAAAAATTAAATTTTATAATTACTAACTTAAGCTTAAAGTATTAATATGAAAGATAACAAATTATTAATCATTCCAGCCTATTGTACGATACTTTTCTGATATATAAAGAAAAAAATATTTTCAGATAATACTTTCTAGGAAATTTTGCTGTAAAAATTCAGCAAAAACCGAGGACATCGCATTCGAGTGTTTGAACTGAGGAGAATAGATATTTTATCACAGTGACGATTTACTCCGAAAGGTTTTTGAAGATAGCATCAGTAAAAAGAAAGTTTATTAAATCCTCTCCATATAAATCGAATGAAATATGTAAACAAGAACATACAAAGCAAAGTAGAAGTTGTTTTGCACGTATACGTTCGAATGTCGTTTAAATGTAAAGGAATTATTAAAGTTATACTTCTTAAGGTGCGTTATGAAAAATAGTATAAGAGTGAAATTTTAAGATGCGCGCACATCACTGTAACACAAAAGTCACACCTTTGAAGCAATACAGAATATAATATAAGTTGAATTTTTAATGTTTTTTTTTTGAATGAGTAAGACATAATTCTTAATTTAAATTAAATCGATTTCTTGTATTTGCGAAAATATTACACAATGGATAGAACGAGTTGTTTACGGACCCAATCTTAATATATTTTTATGATTTTCGGGGATACCGTCAATTTTTTGATTTTAATTTTCTTTTACTGATGTTTTTGCTTTTCTTCGGTAGACTATGAAAGTTTAATTGAACGCTGATCTCGTGGGAGTTTGATACGGCCTTTAGAGTTTGGGAAGGGCCGCGTTTCTCGATTGTTTATTGTATTCCAAGCTACGCAAGAACAGCTATCTTGAATTAAATGGGACAATTGAATAAATTGAACTTTAAACTAGTTTTTTGTGAGTGCTATTTAGGCAACAGCGGAGGCTGCCGCTTGGCTTAGTCACAATAAAACTTTATTTATCATTTACGGTAGGTCCTCAACGAGAATACTCGTTTTTGACAAAAAAAAAATTGAGCCGTTTAGTAATTGAACTATTAAATAGGCTGGAGTGAAAAAGGCAAAATTTAATTTCGCGTTTTTACTTTCGCTTATTTTATATCAACTAACTTTTTTTAAAGAAATGTTCTTTTCTCGCTTGTAGTATCAACGGCTCATATTATGATTTTAGTCATTAATGTTTATAATAAATAAGAGTAATTATCTAATTTATAATAACATATAAATTAGATAATTACTCTTATTTAACGTAGTTTGATTCGTATTTACGGTTCGTTAATTAAAAAAAATGTATTAATTCGATATTAAAGAGGTGTTCTTCATATTAAAAATTATTTTGATATTATAAAGAAAACAATCATAATAATTTTTATTATTTTTTATATCGGATTAGTGAAATTATACTATAGATATGAAAACCAGTACGTTTGTTAAATATACATTTCCAGAAACTAAATTACCTTACCAAAATAACGACTAATTACGTAAATCGGGTGGAGAATGTTGACAGTCAGGATAAGTTAAGTCATTATCCGTTCCTAATTACGTAAACATTGGGCCGCGGGTATTAGAGGGTTTATTAAATTGGCGGCATTGAAACCGAGAGTCGTATTAACAGACTTTAATTGAAAATC